GCTGAGAGGTGGGGGAATTGTTTAGGAATCATGTAAACATGGTACATATTAATACCAGAGGTAGAGACATTTATAGAAAGGAAAAGGTAGTGTACGCTAACATGATATTTAAAAGACATGAATACAATGCAAATTGTGCAGATATTTGAATTGGAATTTTTATAGATGTGCTCATTTGTTGAGGGGACCAGCTACTTATGGCTGGTATTACTATTTGCCCATGGGCAGGAAAGAGCTGTTCAAGTGGGTCTTGTACATGACTGACAGAAAGAATTAGAGAAGGAATAATAAAATGGAATAATTTTTTTTTATCTTACAATGGAAAAGAACAACTACTTTTTACTGTATATTTTTACCTGAGAACTTTAGGAGTAGAATTGGTTTTCTAAATGTTTATAAAAATTTCTTTGCTGTAGAGGAAGTTAGGAGGAGTTCGTAAATATTTGTGTTTCTTTTATTTATCTGGTTTGTTTGTCTCTAAATTTGCCTACGTTTACTTCACTTGGAGTACCTGCCAGACAGGATGCTTCTTTATACCTGTGTTTTAGTATAAGGAAATCTTATTGAGGAATAATAATGATAGCACCAGCTAAACTTTATTGGTTGTTTTCTATGTGCCAGAAAACGTGCTGAGTATTTTATAAGCAAGTGGCTTAGTTAACTGACTGCTCATAGTCAGTTACCAGATAAGTCACAAAATCAGGGTTAGGATCTAAGTTACTAGCACTAAAATTTTTATTTTAACCACTTCTGGAATTATTTGGAATTGGGTCTAAACTCTGACGCAGTCTTGACATTGGATTATAGAGGTAGCCGCACACTTGAGACTGGTTCCTCTACTAGAAGTCATGGGCTCAGCAGTCTGAGAATGGTTATGAAAAGAGTATAATTTAGAGCAGTACCTGTGGCTCAAAGGAGTAGGGCGCCGGCCCCATATGCTGGAGGTGGTGGGTTCAAACCCAGCCCTGGCCAAAAAACTGCAAAAAAAAAAAAAAAGTATAATTTGGTTCTTTAATCTTTAAAAAAAAATAGAAAATTTATAACACTAAATGCATATATTTAAAAAAGTAAGTCTCAATACTCTAAACGTCCACTTCAAAGAACTACAGAGAAGAGGAGAAAAATAAAGCCAAAACGAGCAGAAGGAAGAAAATAAGAAAGAGCAGAAATCAATGAAATGGAGAGGAAAAAAAAAAAAAAGAAAATCAGTGAACGAAAAGCTGGCTTTTAAAAATTATCAGTAAAATTGACAAACCTCTAGCAAAGTTGATGAAAAAAGAGAATTCAAAATTAAGAATATTAGGAATTATGCAGCATAAATGTGTTTTTTCCCAGAGATGCAAGCTAGTTCAATGTTTGAAAATCAATCAATATATTTAATTCTATGAAAAAGCTAAAAGAAAAATTACATGATGAGATTTGTGAATTTAGAAAAAGCATTAGATAAAATCCAACACCCATTCATGATAAAAGAATAATTAACTCTGGAAATGATACTGAATTACGTGAGGAGGCTCAAAAGGTAAGAGTTACTCTAACAAGTGTACAGTATTTTTTTTTTGTCTCAATTCTTTGTCCTTGCCATTCCTTACTGTACAGAAAGGGTGTCTTTTACATGGGAATTTTATGTGTTTTTTTTGGTTTTTTTTTAGAGACAGTGTCTCACTTTGTTGTCCTCGGTAGAGTGCCATGGTGTCACAGCTCACAGCAACCTCTAGCTCTTGGACTTAGGCAATTGTCTTGCCTCAGCTTCCTGAGTAGCTGGGACTACAGTTGCCTGCCACAATGCTGGGCTATTTTTTATTGCATTTTGGCCCGGGGTGGGTTCAAACCCACGGCTCTCTATCTATGGGGCTGGCGCCGCCCCAGGGAATTTTATCTTTTGCTTTTAAGAAACAGCATGAAGGTCAAAATAATTTTCTTTTTATATATGATGGTTTTGAAGTGTTTTTACTTAAATAATCAGTGTGCTGGAATAGCTGAGGAGTTTTAGAGAAAGAGCATTTAGCATACAGAAGGATAAAGAAGGAATGTAAGAAGGGTAAGGCAGATCTCTGGAGAAGGAAGAGTTTTAGCTCCTTTGAGATAGTATTTTGTAGCAAGGTGTAATCTTTGAGTCCTGAATTTTTTTTGACCTCAAGATATCAATTGAGATATGAGTCTTATTTGTAGTGTATGATTTTATAGCTGTGGTCTTTTCTTAATAGTTTTAAGAACAGATCAAATAATCCCTATAATGGTTGAACATGTTACCAACTGGAGTTTCAAAAATATCTTGGCATGTCTTTCAACTTTGAGAGTCCATATGCAGTTAAATTTATTTAGGTAATTGGGTTTAATACCAAATACACCAAAGCCAAATAAATATAAGCAGTAGTGGGAAATAAAGTACAGAGTCTCTTACCAGAGAAGATGATAGTTTTCTACAAATGAAAGGGGAAATTCCCTCATTAAAACCTCATAGCGAGCTCAATAGGAGGGAAATAATCCTACCCAACAGGAAATCGCCTAATCTGGAGGGGAAAGACCCCTCACCAACCAAATCCCCTATAAAACAGATCTCTACCAAAACAGGAGTTCAGTCCAAGAGAGACTCACAGGGAGGTAAAAGGCAGCCCATGGAAGCAGAGGTGTGAAGGTTCAGAAGGCCCCAGTGTGGGTGCCTTGAACTAGTTCCATGGGCTGGTGATTCTCCCCAGTTTTGGAATCCCACTTCTGACATCAAGTATGTTGAAGTTAAAATGCAGAGTTGTATCTCTAAATTTAAAATGTAATATTTGGGAAGCAAGAATTACAATTCTGGGCTTATACACAGACTGGGTGATCTTTGACATGGCCAGAGAACAAAGAGAACATTAGCAATTTTTAAAAGTACAAATGTTATGCATCGTTATGAAAGAAAGTTCATTAGCAATAGTAAAGTTTTGGGGAGCTAGTAAGTTCTGACTAGAGAGCCATGGTGGTAGGCAAATCTGGTCTTAGAGTTGCAGCAGGTCAGTTCAAATAGGTACTAGATAAAAATGTTTTCAAGTTACAATAGGCAGTTTCAGCAGCTGGGCTTGTAGAAAATTACATTCTTCCAACAATATTCTATGTCCTGAGTGCTTTTTCTCCCTGGCCTCTTAACTCAGTTTTAGTTGGTTATGAAAAGAATGGCCCAGTTCATGCAATTAGCTTTCATGACAGCAATCAGGTTGGGTAGTATCTATGGTTTCCAGAATCTGCTGGGGTTTTAGAATGTATCTTACAATTGCTCTCTCTGGAAGATTGGGGGGGGCACATACATTGTACCAATGTAAATTTTCTGATTTTGATGTTGTGCACATACATAGTTATTATACATTAAGATGTCACCATTGGAGTAAACTGAGAGAAGGGTATACTGTAATTTTCTGTATTATATTTGCAAATTCCTGTGAACTTAGTTATTTCATAATTAAAGGTTAAAAAAGTACAGCAATTTCTTTTTCTTTCTTTCTTTTTTTTTGAGACAGAGTCTGTCCCAGGGCTATTGCCCTGGGTAGAGTGATATGGTGTCATAGCTCACAGCAATTTCCAATTCTTGGGCTCAAGAGATCCTCTTGACTCAGTTTTTCCTTTTTTAGTGAAGATGGGAGTCTTGAATTCCTGAACTCAAGCAATCCACCCTCCTAGGCCTCCCAGAGTGCTAAGATTACAGGCATGAGCCACAGCGCCTGACCAGCAATTTCTTGAAAATAATTTCAACATTACATTTTGTCAGTAGACATGAAATAAAACATTTATATTTTATATATGAACCACAATTAATTGGTATCATAGTACTAATAATTTACATTTTTAAAACATTTCTTAGTCCATCCCTCAATTAACAAAGTGTTACACTTGAAAATGTTTGCTTGATGTCAAAATGTGAGAAAGAAAAAATTCTGTAAATATTTTGGAATGCTTTGAAAAATGTTTTCTTCTGGATAGGCATGCATTCCTCTATAGGAGGTAAGCAGGGGAGCAGGAACTAACATTTATCAGTCCCCAAATACATGTAGGAACCTTGCTGAGTCCCTGTGGGGAGATGAGGGGTTTGTGTGGTTCTTTTTGGAATTAACTACCATTCCTGAAAAGGGTCTAAATAAACTATCGAAGGACTTTTTAATTTGCTGGAATTTTCCCAGTTTTATCTTTCCTGAAATATGTGACGTTCTTATGTGATACTTTGCCTCTTGTCTAAAGAGGGGCTGAGCACCTCCGGGGCAGTACCTTCCAGATCTTATTCTAAGAGTTGTTCGCTTCGGTTTACCCTAAACGCGACGGTAATACGGCAGAGAGACTAAGGCCAGTCCTTGCTCTGTCATGGGTCAGCAGAGAAGCTATTTCAAAGTTACAGAATAATTCATATGCTTTCGCTTTTCATGGAAAAAATAATTTTCCTGACTTTCTTGCTTTCGTGAAGTTTGTTGGGAGTAGCACCTTTGCTTCGCCGAGGTTAGGTTGTGAAACTGTTTCAACGCGCTTGTTGACAGTAGTCCTGTGACGCGCCCTTCATGGACTTGGAGCTTTGCTACTTTTGTTGCAGATTAACGTTGGGACCGAAAGGTGATGTGATTAGGAAACACCCCGCGTTTTGTACTGAGGTCGCTGGCCTCGCGGGAAAGGACTTTGCACCGGCTCGATCCACGCAGTGCGCCCTCCAGGGCTCACGCAAGATGACTTGGCAGGGTACACCCTCACACAGTCCCGGCCACCTCCTGTGGCTCGGTCCTCGCCCTGCAATCCCGCCCACTGCCTTCTGCGCAGACTCAGCGAAGTTCCTTTCCTCCCTCCGCGCGCTCCCGCAGCGGAGATTGTGAAGGGCACCTCCTGCAGCCAATCAACACCCAGGCTCTGGGCGGGGGCGCGCCGAGGGTGCGCAGGGGGTCGGCCAAAGGCCGGGCCTCATGAGTGACAAGGATGCCGGCCTATCCTCGGAGGCTGTGCTTAGCAACGCCTCTGCTGCGCGGGCAGCCCAGCCTAGGGCGCGGTATAGTGCGCGTAGGGAATGTCCCGGGCAGCCTCTGCTGAGACGCGCGTTCTGCTTCTCTGGTGGCTGAGTGTGCCGGGTTTGGCTCGCCGCGCGCAGAGATGGCGGAGCAGTCTGACAAGGAGGTGAAGTACTACACCCTGGAAGAGATTCAGAAGCACAACCACAGCAAAAGCACCTGGCTGATTCTGCACCACAAGGTGTACGATTTGACTAAGTTTCTGGAAGAGGTGAGTTGGTGAGGCGCTACTTCGGTCCGGGCGCGTGCCCCGGGCTTTGGGGCTTCCCTGGCATGATCTGTGTCCGCCGATCCTGCACACGTACGGCACACGTACGAGCGCTTTCGAATAAGCGCGGTCGAGTCTGCACACCTGGGAGCGCTCTCGAATAGGTACAGCTGAGCCTGCACACTCCTGAGTGTGTGAGCCTGGGCGCGCTCCCCGAGTCTCCACACCTGCCTGTGTACTCCTGGGAGCTCTTTCGAATCGGCACACCTGAGTGTGTACGCCTGGGAGCGCTCCCGAGGTCTGCAAGCACGAGTCTGCACACCTGAGACCGCTCCCGAATCTGCACCCCTGAGTGTGTGCGCCCGGGAGCGCTGTCGAGTCTGCCCTTGGCTTGTTACACCTGAAATCGCTCAGTACATCGGCCCGCATCCTTGCCCTGTGAGCCCTTTTGGCCGCCCAGGGTGCGGGCTTGTAGGGCAGGGCGGGCGGACGTACACTAGATCACATTAGTGGGAATCAGAATCGTGTCTGGAGCAGGGACGTGCGGATTTTAAATGATTCCTTTTATCCTTGAGTTTGAATAGAAGAGATCTTCCTCCAGCGCAGGGGTCGGTCCCACTGATGTTACTCTTGAGTTATGGTTGGAAACCGCCCACCCTGAGAGCCTTGGGGTACTGCCAGCGGGGACCCTGACCTAAGTTGCGTGGGGGCGGGACCGTGACATACGTGGCCACTCCACCTTCCACACCCACTCGTGTGCACCCCGAAGGGCCGTAATGATGATTAACGGTGTACATTACTGACTTGGCCTTGAGCGACTGAGGACTCAACTTTGTGGTGGTGTGTGGTTTGGTGACGTTCGAAGAAGCAGGATCGCCAGTGGGACTTGAACCTTAAGCGACTTTGGAGGCTGTAAAATAACCTTGCTTGACTGAAACATTTTTTTGATAAGATTCTTAGCTTTGGATTATAGTTTTTGCTGTATGCTCTAAGGTGCATTTGTAGTAATTGTCATTGCTATCTCTGGATGTATTTTATTACTTTTAGAGAGTTGAATCGTAAATCTTAACACACATACCCTCCCCTCCACTCACCCACCCCTAATAAATAAGGATGTTTAGTAATGAGAATTATTTACTTGGTGGGGGGCAAAAATAGAGACCTACTCTTAATTGGATCACAGTTTACATGAAGGGACTTTTGTTTTGCAGAGAATGTTAGAGAAAACAAAGCAAAATCAAAAAGTCTATTTAAAAGGAAAAGTTGAAATTAATGTTTATAGATAAGATAGTTCACTCTTGTTATTTGACAGAATGCCAGAAGATAAGAAGATAAGTGTCCCAATTTAGCTAGGTGGCGGTGGTTTATGATAGGGAATCAGATCTGGTGTGTCTTCTCCCACCTGCTGAGCTACACAGCTTGTTTGCCATTGTAGATTTTGAACTAACAGTCCTGTATGATAACAAGTCTAATGGACTTTAAGTGGCTACTTGCCACTGTCCTTCCCCCCTCTCATGGTTTATGTAATCTGCAATTTTAAATTATTGTGTGTTTGTGTCTATAAAAAAGTACTACTTATGAAGTAATGTTAAGATATATTATAATGTATTTGCTATTTTCTTTCTTTTTAAGCCATGCTAATGGATTTTTTTTGTCCCAGAATGGGTTTTCTGTTACCTTTCGCATTGTTGACATTTTCGGCTGCACAGTTCTTTGTGGTGGGATCTGTCCTGGTCTTTGTAAGATGTTGAGCAGTTTCCCTAGCCTCTACCCACTAGGCATGGGTAGTAAATCCCTCCTCTCCCAGTTGGGATAACCAAGAATGTCTCCAAATATTACCAGTTGTCCCTTGGGGCACAAAATCACTTCTAGGTGAGAATTAAAGTTATTGTGTATATGGTAGATTTTAAAAAGGAGATAATAAGAAAGAAGGTAATTATTAAAATTTACTTGAAGATATTTGCTTTTACATTTTATTTTTACAAGGCAAGATTATGCAAAAATTTTCTAAGCAAAACTGGAAGGGATGAGAACAAGCTGCTTAGTGAGTAAATTTGCTGAAAATACATTCCTTTATTCATTCTCAAAAGTTTTGATACTCTCATTTGAGGAGAATGCACCTCCGATGAAATGAAGGGCAGCCTCAGAAGAGGAGGCTGGAGTTGGGAGGAACACAAGGACTTTGAGGGGCTGTGGACTTTAAGGGGCTGGAGGTATCTTTGGGGTCAGAACTGTTTTTTGCATCTCTGCCTTCTCTACATGTCTGCCTCACGTTCTAGCAGGTTGAAACTTGGAAAAACAAGGCCACCTAGCCTTCCCTGGGCTGCACCAGCCTTCACAGCACATCTGTTGATGTGTTTTTCCACGTCCATTTCTGTTATTTGCTTTTACTTTTGTGATCATCTCCTGCTTTATGCAGTGCCTACGCATTGGCTTCCACTCCCAGCAAGGCCTTCGGGGGCTCTCCCTGTTGTACCCACAGATCTAGAATTCCCTGCAGGTGCTTCCTGTGCCCGTGTTACAAACACCTCTTCTCACTCAGACAGCTCAGCACTGCTCTGTCAGGTACTTTGACTTCTTCCTAGAATCCTCCTATTCTGTGATTTTTTTTTTGTGATTCCCAGCACCATTTATCTCATACCAAGTTCAAGAACAGGAACTGAGCCAGGATGTATGCCTCTCTTCCTTCCCCCTTTGCCTTGCCTTTTTCCTTTCTCTCCTCCATCCTTTAAAGGCTCCAGAATTTCGTGAAGCCTGTGCATGTTAACTAAAGAATATTCTGTCTTCCCTAATGTACCTAAATGTGAAAGTTTTTTCTCCTTCCTACCTCTCAAATGAACTTTCAGCCATTGTGGGCTAGATCTCCATCTACTGTGAGTTCACTCATCCCATATGGGCAAGATTTCTCATGGCTGAGTATTTCTCCCTTTCAGAATGTCCTAGATTTCCGTGAGTATCCACATTCATGCTGAGAATATGTGTGCTGTGGTGGAGAGATCCTGGTCTGCGGCCTGCAAGGTGCATGTCAGGAATACAGGTTGAAGTTTAATAGTTGTGCAATGTGAGCTCTGTTTTCCTGAATTAATGACTTATAAAGCCATTGTTCAGGAGGCGGTGTAGAAACCTAAGAGGAAAACTTATTATTAATGGCAATCTAAATAGCAGCAGGGGGTTAGTTTCCTGCTAATACTTGCCTAGGAGATTTTGAGCTTTATTGTCTACATGTTTTGAATGCAGTTTTTCTTTTATCCTGAGTTCTGGTTTTGAATTAATATTTGTGAAATTGAGTCATGTCATGTATGATTATATCATCAGCAGAGTTTATGATTGATTATAGACCTTTGAGGGACAGTTACTTGAAATGAGAACTTAAGCATTTAGGATCAGAGGGGGAAAAATGATTTGCATTTCTCTTTCTGTGATTTGGGCAGCAGCATTTATTCAGTTTTTAAAAGAGTTGTGGAACAGAGAGAAGAAGATGTCACATAATAGTTATATTAGGTACACATTTCCATTCAAGTCCATGGGGGTTTGATTTGTGAATTAGATTTTGTTCTGAAAATTTTATGAAGCAAAATGTCTTTGTGTTGAGTTGGCTCCCCTGCCCCCTTGACATAAAAATGGAAACTTGTTTCTATGGAACATTTTCTAGTGATCCTGGATTCTGGTAGTCTGCCATCTGACCTTGGATGTTGTTTAACAGCCTTCTGCCTCACCTGGACTTCTGGAGTCTAAGAGTGCTCTTCATCGCAGGCTGTGTTGCAGGCACTTCGTTTTTGTTATTTTCCATGAAAACTGGCTGCCAGCATTGCAGAGAACAGTGATTCTGAGGCTGGGGACTGGAGTATCCCAGGGATCCCAGAAGAAATCACTGAAGACTCATTGTCCTTAATTATGAAAGACGGAAGAATATGTCTTTGCTCTTATCAGGGCTGCTATATTTAGGGGTGAAATACTAATTGCCTTTGCTTTTTGTAAAGAAGTTTGATAGTATTTCAGGTCTTATACTAAGAGGCATACTACTACATGCCTTTGTATGTAAAATGGAAACATTAATTACTATTTAATATTTATTGTTAGGTAAATAAGGCTAAGAAAATATGAAGTACACAGGATGAAAATACAATGGTGTTAGTGATAATAGTGGCTCGTGCATCCTGTGTAAACAGGTGGCAAAACCACATCTCACAAGGCCACCTGGAGAAGGAAGCTATGGCTCTTTGATAATATTGTTGCTTATGAAGTAAATTTTTGGTAACCTGTTGCAAAGAAAACTCTTTTGATTAACTTTTCCTTTTTTTTTTTTTTTTGAGACAGAGCCTCAAGCTATCCCCCTGGGCAGAGTGCCGTGGCATTACAGCTCACAGCAACCTCCAACTCCTGGGCTCAAGCGAGTCTCCTGCCTCTGCCTCCCAAGTAGCTGGGACCACAGGCGCCCGCCACAATGCCCGGCTATTTTTTGGTTGCAGCCATCATTGTTGTTTGGCGGGTCTGGGCTGGGGATTCGAACCCGCCACCTTAGGTGTACGTGGCTGGCGCCTTAGCCGGTTGAGCTATAGGCGCCGGGCCAACTTTTCCTTTTTGTTTAAGGAGGATGAATATTGTAAATAAGGAAGGACAAACATGGGCCAGTTTGGTTAAATCAAGGAAGGAATAAATTTGCTACATTCTACTTAATGCAATGTCTGTTATTCTGAAGGAACCTTGGACTGTGGAGGACAACTGATTAGTTGCTTTTTAGTCTAGTGAAGTCCGAACAACCCTGGCCCCCTTGGACATTCATGGGAAAGTGCTGCGCTGTGATTAGGAAAACCAGATCTGGTCTCAGACCTGTTAGGGAGGTGAGCTCTGGCAAGCCAGGTAATTCTCTAAATCACTTCCTTATTCTGGTGAAGGGGGGACTGTTCTGTCACCTGCATCTGCCTCAGATCTGTGAACGTGTTTTCACACCTATTTCTCCCCCTGTGAACGTGGGGAGAAATAATACGTATGAAAACACTTGG